AGAGAGAGCCAACGTATTTATCGATAGTCTCTTCTCGCGAAGGAGGATTTAAAGGCTCTCCTTCGATTCAGTTTTTTTTACATTTTTAATTATTTATCGGCGGATATACGATAATCAATGCAATGCGTTCGAAAGGGAGATCAAATAAATATTCCGTCCGCGTGAATGACCTTCACGGCGGAAACACTAATTATCTCGAGTCAAACGTTCGATCGTAATCTCGTAGGTGCGTGTAAAAACGGACCTGGGTTTGGCTTTCCGCGCACGTCCCGCTTGGACACTCACGCGGCTAACATGCGCTATTGTTCCATCGGAACATCGCGCGGACTCCATGATCCGGCTGCACATCGCGCATCATTCAAACAAAGTTAGGCAGCGCTATGCCGAGGGAAATGGAGGTCAAGTACTTTCGAAAAACGCGAACGCGACGCCTCGGAATAAGAGAAATTTCCTCGCTCGAGTTTACGCGACGGCGAGCAAAGCAGCGGCTACCAAGCGGGAATTACGGGGGAAAAGATAGAATACGAGCGATTCTTCTTTTTCTCTCGGCACGGTTCTCCGACGCCCGAACTCGGCATTCTTTTTTCCTTCTTTGTCTTTCGAAGCTACATCCGTGTAGTATGGCGTGATTATCGGCGGATCTCTCGATTTCCGATTTCCAAGAAAAAGTCCTAGATAAAACAATTTATGATATTTCTGCACCTTTCAATCGCGCGAAACACGCAAGAAGACGTGCGAGTAAAGGAAGGGAATAAATTATTAGGGAGATAATGATGTAACTGTAAAACTTTTGCAGCTCTGTGAGTCAACTTCATTCATACAACTAAAGATATGATGATTAGACTTTGCATTTAATAAATCTGGCATGAATGTAACATAAAAAGCGAAAGAAAATACAAGATTATTCTAGAAACCTTGAAGATTCAGAAAATCAGTATAAAGGAGAATCATTTATTTATACGCTCCATACAGAGCAGTCTCTGGTTTCACCTTAGGCCTATTCTTTTTAAACTGGAACTTAACATGGAACGTAACACGATTCATTCTTTTCTGTTCTTTTTTTTTTTTTCTTCCAACGAGGGGAATCGTGTATGTTCAGCTAAAGAAAACAGACCTCTTAACGTGGCGACTGGAGTGTAGTATTTATACATCTGGTTCCGGTTATTTTTTCGATGAAAAAGCACAACCGTGCAAGAATCACTTTTGCACGAGCGTGAAATAAATAAGTGCGAGCGCGCACGCGCGCGCGCGCGCATAAAAAGCAGGAAAAGAAAACTCGGAAGAAACCAGGGGGTTGATTGGCGGGGCGAGGGAGGGAAGAGCGAGACGGGCCCACGTTTCTTCCGTTTCAAGCGCGGACGCGAGCTTCGACTCGCGACTCGCGATTTTGCTAGAAAGCGAGACCGATGTACGCGCGCATCGATGCATCGACGCTGCCAGCTTTCTTCCGTTTGCGTGCCGTGTAGGCGGTGATGTTGTAATTTCGTGTCGAGAGAAACAGAGAGAGAAGAACGTGATATCGATGAGACGATGGGGATCCGATGGGGATCCTCGGTCCTCGCAAAGAAAGTAAACGCCACGCGAATCTCGGTACGTTCAAGAATGGAGAGAAAGGGGGAGGGAGAGGGAGGGAGGGAGGGGAGGAAGAGAGAGATATTTTATAAATCTAATAAAGAAATCCTGTCGAGTTGTCGAAATAAATTAGTATGATTATCAAGATACGCAATTATTGAGAATTTATTTATTTATTATTGAGAATTTATAATTGTTTATCATATGTATGAAAAAAAAATGTGTTTACAAATGTTTCTTCAATGATTTAGATTTTTGTTAAGCTGTTGTAACAACATATGTATAAAAAATCGTTTTTAAGTTGTTACATTATTTTTATAATATCGCTGAAAAACATTGTTTTTTTAATGTTACTAATTTTATTCCTATTCATATTTTCTCATTTTAACTTTAATAGGTTGTATTTCTTAGTAGTCAGACGGTAATATTCAGACTACTGTCTGAATACTAAGAAATACAACCTGTTTGCTTTATATGATTTAATATGAGATAAAACAAGATTTGCAGTTAAATGTACATCAATCATTTGTTTCTCTATCGAGTAACTGTTTCATTATCGTTACGACGATAACTATACGAAGAATCATAATGTTGCATTTTTTAAAGAAAAGAAGCGTCCATTAATATCAAGTCTTCGTTTCGACATATCTAATAAAAAAAGTAAATGTAAGTTTAACAATGGCTAATCACGCGGGGTACTTTTCTGGCATAACGTCGCGTAAAATTTATGCAACGAGAATGACCTCGTCGCGAAAATTATATTTGTATTGGCATGTGTGATGTTTATTGCTAAACCGTTGTAATCGCCCGCAGCTGATATGTGAATCAAATGAAATTCGTAAGTTGCCTAATGAGGTGAAGGCCTTCGCAAACTTCATGCTAAGACTCTTTTTGAAATAAACAGATATATGACTTTCTTAATTCCGCGCATGTTCGAAATGATATTACAAAATAAAATCGGACGATTTTATATTTGAGTTAAGTGATGTCGTAATTGTCAGAAATGAAAATCTAAAAGAAATAAAAAATATATATAAGAAATTTAAAAGCATAAAACAAACATTATTTTATGATTTGAGAAAATAAGCATCTCTTATATTTATTTGCCTCGTAAATGTACTCTCAAGTGGCCTTTATAGTCTTACATTGCCACCGGTTTATGTCATAATTTCTTTCCTTCGATGCGGAATGATTATTTAAAATTTAAAAACGATGCATATCTTTTATCTTGAATCCCCGATTCTCGATTTAACGTTATCTTTTCTCGATTAATTCTTACACGAAGAAAATTCTTCGTTTTAATCTACCACACAGAAATCAAACACAAATTACAAATTATGTTATATTTGCTGATTAGCTTGGAACAATTTGACCCAATTAACGCTATTAACATTATCGATAATTATAGAAATTTTTAAAATTCGTATTTAAAACCGTATTAAAAGTATTTTATAAACTACATAATAAAAATAACGAAACAGATTATAAGAGTTTTAAAATTTGTATAAATAATCATATTAAATATATTTTTTATAAGTTTATTTTTTATTTTAATTTTTAAGTAAAAAAATAACGAAACAAATTATGAGTTTTAAAATTTATATAGATAATCATATCAAATATATTTTTAAAGAAGTTTATTTTTTTATTGTAATTTTTATTTCAAAATTTACAAGGACACAATTGTTAAAACACTTAATATGGGGAACAATTTTTAATATTAATAATTTCTTTTCTCTATAACTTTATGCTTCTATCCAAAGAATCTCTTCATTGTAGAAAATCCTCATTTTTATTTCATCTAGCACAGCTAGATATAAATGATGACAATAAATGACGAATATTATCGACTGATTACCATACAACACAATAAAAACATAATTATTATGCTGCTGACAGTAAAATTATCATAAACACTGAGATTAAATTGAAAATATCACATGCTATATTATAAAATTTATTCGAAATCGTTTATATATTTGTCACTACTTGACAATTTATTTTATTTAAAACATTAAATAAAAAAAGCACGAATTGCAAATTATGCAAAAATCATGAATTGCTTAATATATTATAAAATTATTAAAATTTTACTAGATACTTAAATAAATTTACTAAATTTAACCAAACATATTTTATATCTCATTAAAATACATGGAAAGAACACTTTCGCTGGCAAATCTAAAAATTTGACTAGATACAGACTTGAAAACGATTTTGTTGAGCTTTCAAAATTATTATATACGATGTTCAAATTGATCATTAGAAGATCAAACATTTTTGCAGTATTATCATCATATTTAAGTGTTTCTACAAAATAATTTTGATGGGCCAACAAAATTATTTCTGTATCTGGTCAAATTTTTAGATTTGCCAGCAGCAAAAGTGTTCTTTCCATGTAGATATTAATAAATAAAAGAAAAATCACATAAAATTCTTTGAAATGTCGTGTTGATTTATGATCATTGTGATTTTTAGAGTATATTTTAAGAGAGCAATTTTCAGACGCTTACTCATCGCGAGTAACCGCAGTGTTAAGCGTGGCGCATAAGTGCATAAATAATAACACGTAATGCGCGCGTACGAGGAACGGACCGTGCCGAAGGATAAATATTAACGAGAAAGGCACAAAGTGCCACAACTGCTTTTTACCTGGCGATTGTTTCGCTCTTGTAACCATAAAATTTATCCAGAATACAATCAATGCGATGTGTGACGGCGGAAAGAGCATTCCAAGGAGAAATCCCGTAAGGCATCTTTTTCCAAAACCGGCCGACCTTGTTCTCATTTATGTTCGGTTCTTGCTAATCGAATCGATTGTTAGGTCGATGATCTCGAAGGTCGTGACGTAATCATCTCTGGCCGCTGGGAGCGAAGAACAATCGCATTTTACTCGTTAATTACCCCGGGTTTGCTAGGGGCTACTTTTATGTTTAAAAAGTGACAAAAAAGAAAAGAAAGATTACGAGACGAGCCGATAGAACGGTTCCTCGAGCAGGAATAAATGATAATTTTACATATCTTTACGAAATAAACCTCCTACCGAGTTTGTACATTCTCCCATGTCTTTTAATTTTCGCCCAAGTTCTCTCCCAAGGTTACGAAATTGCAGAGATTTATTTCCCTATCTCGAAATGATGCTTTACGATCGTCAAAGTTACAGCTACCTAGCGAAATCACGAATTCAGAAATAAGAAATCATGTGAACTTTCTTTTTTTGCAATATAAGGAGATAAGTGATTTTTATTTCGAGTACAATGGAAATAGAAATGAGTGTCTTAATATATCTCTGTCTGGTTTTTTTTTTTTAACATATTCATTTTTATTTCTCACGATTTTAAATGCAAATTCCATTCAATGTTAAAAAAAAGTTGTAACTATCGGCAATGATTCATCTTTTGTTATCTTTTTGTTTTTTTCTCTCTCAGGGGCCGCCGTTGCGATTGGAATCCTGCTGATAATCCTGGCTGCCGTTCTGGCGGTTTTATTCCCGAATCTCATTAACCTGGTCCTGGACAAAGAACTCGCGATACGAGATGGCGGTCGCACATATAAATTCTGGAAGGAGCCGCCGGTTGTGCCGCGTATGCAAATTTACATTTACAACGTGACGAACGCTGACGAGTTTCTGAACAACGGCGAGAAACCGGCATTGCAAGAGCTTGGTCCATACGTTTACAATCAGCATTGGGAAAAAGTGGACATTAAATTCAACGACAATGGAACCGTCACCTATAAAGTCAAAAAAACATTCGTCTTCTCTCCGGTAAGCGTTTGTTAAATTTATATTATCGTAGCAAAAAGAAAATTATAAATTTTAATCCGCTTGCATCGTTTTTGAAATTTTATAATTCATATAAAGCTACATCGATATTCCCTCCGCTTCAATTTCATTTACAAAATGTCAAAATAAAATGTCAAAAAAGTGTCGAAATAATAATTTTAACAACGAAGCTTGTATATCATAAGCATAAATTTAATTATAAAGACCTACTATTCATTATCCCATTATAAAATATGAATATATGAATGTATATATAATGCTTCATTTTTTTTATGCAAATACTTTTCGCGACAGTATATTAAAATACCGATACTTTGATTATGAGACACGGGCAATTAGCATTCAGAACGACACCGTGTTTTTATCGCGCGGGATGATCGCGGCGCATTGATTGTTCTTTTATTGAGAAGACAAGAATATATCGGCTGCTAAGAAAAAAAAACCAACGAATCCGCATTGAATGACAATCGAAGACGTCACGTCGCCTCCGGCTTCTTATTCGAATTCGTCATAGACGCGTCCCTCCGTCGCGCCGACTTCGCCGGTTATTCCTGTTCGCGCATCGAAATCACTGCCGTGCGACTTTCTACCTTTGTTAGAGAAACGTTTCTACGGCGTGTTATCGCAACTTAGCGGCAAGAAAGACAATATACGGGATCGATTTTTGCCCCGAGAGAAAATTTATGGAAGAAAATCCTTGTGAATGAACGCGGAAGTTTTGTATCGACTCACAGTGGCGATTGATGTGGAATTCCCATTTACCGTCTATTCTCTTGAGATCACAAATTAATTCATTCGTTGTTATTCATATATTTCTCTTTCACTTTTCGTTTTAATATTTTAATTATTTTCTGTTTCGCCGTGCGCGCATGATTTATACTTTTAGCGTTCCATCTTTTATGGTACGCTAAATGTTTTAATTATTGCAATCTTTTTATAACTTTACATATGTTAATTATATTAGCGTTTCTTTCTAAAAATCTAAACTAAATATTTTCTTCGTTCATTTGTTCTTCCAAAAGTCGCCCTTTTTTGCAGTCATCAGCCAGATCGACTCCAAATTCTCATTCGCTTTCTTATCTCGTTGAACTCTTAGGAACTGTCAGCCGGTTCCGAGGAAGATCTGGTGGTCGTACCAAATGTCCCAATGCTGTCGGCAACCAGCCAATCAAAACACGCCGCCCGTTTCCTACGACTAGCGATGGCGTCCATCATGGACATTTTGAAAATCAAACCGTTCGTCGAGGTGTCCGTCGGCCAGTTGCTCTGGGGCTACGAGGATCCTTTGCTCAAACTGGCCAAGGACGTCGTGCCTAAGGAACAGAAATTGCCCTACGATCAGTTTGGTCTGCTTTACGGCAAGAACGCGACTGGGACGGATCTGTACACGATATTCACGGGCATCAACGACATTACCAAATTCGGCTTAATGGACAGGTGGAACGGTAAGGACGGCCTCGGTTTTTGGACCACGCAGGAATGCGACTCCATCATGGGCACCGACGGCAGCATATTCCCGCCTCACATCACGAAGGAGACCGTGCTCAAGGTCTTCGACAAGGATCTCTGCCGGACGTTGCCGCTGGTTTATCAGGTTTGTGTTTTTGTTACTCGTCGTTAATTATCCGGCTGATACGACCGGAGGTAGATGGTGGCCTTCTTGGATTTCAATCCAATAATTTTTCAAGATCATTTTTCAAGATACAAAATTAGGAGAATATAAAAAAAGTTTTTATTTTAATGTATCACTGCCATAAATTTTACGACATTGATATGTTGATCTCTGTTTTATTAAAATTACCTCGAATTTTTTATAAAAATAAAATTGCTAGCGTCATTGAATTTTTAATATCTTTGATTTGAATTTCAAATGTTTTTATTTATTTCATAAAATATTTCCAATCGTTACAATATAAATAAAATATTAAAAATAAATATAATAAATAAAAATATATAATACATAAAAATATTAAAAATATAACACATCAAAAAACAATTCAGTGTTATATTTTAACATTTCAAGTTAGCAATTCCAAATTTTTTTTATTTTCTTAATATAATCTTTAGAAAATTCGAATTTTAATTAATATCAACTAGATTTTAATAAAAGAAATCAAGTTAGATATATTTCATATCCTTTTATGATTTTAATACTAAATTTCGTTTTATCTTATTTAATAGAATAATCGAATTCTTCCTAGTCAATTTTTACAAATATTAAAAGTATTGCGCGTTAAGAAATAATGAAAGGTGCATTCCATTTGATACTCGTAACGTTCTTAAAATCATTTTATCTTTATTGTCTGTCAGGTGTGAAACAAGGATAAGTAATGCTCGAGAGTGTTGCGAATGCTGTTGGAACATATTCTAAGTAATACATACATTTGACATTTTTAATTTTACATCGAAAAAGTTTGTTGAAGTATTTTAAAAATTTAGCCAGATACAGATTTGAAAATAATTTTGTTGAACCATCGAAATTATTATTATATTTGTTGGATACTTAAGCATAATATGATATTGCAAAAATTTTTAATCTTCTAATATTCAATTTGAACATTCCATATAATCTTAATAACTTAATAAAATAGATTTTCAAATTGTTATCTAATTAAATTGTTAAATATTTCAGCAATATTGTTTTTTCCGAATTGATTTTCAACAAAAGTACACGGAAAGAACACTTTTGCTGGCAAATCTAGTAAAATTTGATTAAATACAGATCTGAAAACGATTTTGTTGGGCCTTCAAAATTATTATATACGATGTTCAAATTGATTGTTAGAAGATCAAACATTTTTGCAGTATTATTTTATCACATTTAAGTTCTACAAGATAATTTTGATTGGGCCAAAATTATTTTCAGATCTGTATCTAGTCAAATTTTTATTTTTGCCAGCGAAAGTGTTCTTTCCGCGTGTATGTAGTGATTTCAAATTTGAATATTTTCTCGATGTAATCTTTTGAAAGTGTGAATATCTCGATCAATAAAATCTATTAAATTATATAAAATGTAAAATCTATCGATAAAGGAAATACTAAATTGGGTATATTTTACATCTTGATTTTACGGTCTTAACACGAAGCTTAACTTTTTCTTATTTGGTTAAAGGATAATTCTGATTCTTACGAATAAAAATATTGAAATGTCCTTTTGATACAGCTCTTATAGGAAATTCTCGATTAATATTAACCGAATCTTAAATAAAAAAAAAAAAAAAAGTTAGATATGTTTCACAGGTCTTTAGTTTTGATTTTGCTAAGGTTCATTTTTTAGAAATAAGACTTTTGAGGGTATCGCGCATCAAAAAGAAAATTATTTTCTAGCGCGACGTGATAGCCGCTGGTGGGATTCCCGGCTACAGATTTTCCCCACCGACAAACGTCTTTACCTCGGTAGAGAATCTGCCGTCGCAGCAATGTTACTGTCCAGCTGGACCACCATGTGCGCCAGAAGGTACATTCAACGTCTCCTTGTGCCAATACGACTCGCCGGTTCTCCTTACTTTCCCACATTTTTACCTCGGTAAGTATCACGTAACGCGCAATTTCTGGGCGCTGCAGCGGCCGAAGCCTTGTTTACAAATCACTCTCGCAACAAAACTCGAAACTATTTTTAGTCATCGTTAATTACAGAATTACTTATCAGAATTACTTGCGAGATTTCGAAGTCGAACGATACGTACGTCGAGTCGAGATGACGCAAAACGGTTGGGTAACACACGGCGAATGTTGCGTATTATTTTCATCGCAATTATTATTATTATTATTATTATTATTATTGTTGTTGTTGTTATTATTGTTATTATTATTATTCTCGGGATTGATCGCGGGCTTCCCTCCCTAATCGTAAGACTCGCGATACACATCATCCGATACTTGACGTAATCACCGTGTCATGAATCTCCGACGCTCGTGCGAATTTAATACGCGTCGCTCAGACCGATCGTTACGCGATCAATCTCTCGCGTGTGTATCTAAAAGTGTATCGTCTTACGTAAGCGCGACACAGCGCATAGCGTTGCCACGAATTATTTTCTTAGCAGATTATTCGCGATAAATTTATTTGCGTCACGCATTGCGTCACGCATGCGCATATTCCTTTCCTTCATTCGACGAACGATTTGTCGCGCGACCGCTCGGCAATTCGTCGCGATTTTTCGCGACAAATGTCCTGCGAATCGGGCGAATATTGACGAACGTTCCTCGCTCTTCTTTCGCGTTTCCTCTTCCTTCACCCTGGGGCGGGTATCCGGCCGATTTGACAGCCGATATTATATCGTTTAAGTGCGTGATCCAGTTTCGCGAGATCTTTATCGAGATCTAGCGCTGTCGCGCCGCTTCCGGCTCCGCGCCACGGCGAGACTACGAGAACGGTCCGTTACCACGAGGCCTCCATTTTTTTTTTTTTCCTCCGCATCTCAGGAACAATCTCTTTCTCTCACGCGTCCCCTGCCGCGATTCTCCCACGGAATATTATACGAGGCTCTTTCTCTCTCGCGCCTCTCAAGTTCTTTCGCGCCCTCCCCCTGCCCCCCCCCACTTTTACTTTCAACGTTCCGGATTTTAGGCGACGTTCCAGTAGACACTTCGTTTCACCGCCGTGCGAAATCGTTTTCTCGCTGCAAAACAAAGTTGTACGCGGCTCCTTCTCGCGGGGATACCAGATGATACCTCGGTAGTACAAGAGATTCGAGCGAGAGATATCCGCTTTGAATTTCTCGGCGAATCTTATGTGAGGTTATTTTTTTAAACAACTTTCGCAAACTACTCCTCGTAACTTCTTCTCGAAAGCGAGATGATTATTTTGCATTAATACTTATATAACAACACGTCAGCTCTTAAGAGCCGCATTTAATTATAAATGCGAAAGTAATAATGAGAAGAGTAAAAAAAAAGAAGTAAAAAAAGGTGGACAAGATATCGATAAATACCGATTTGTTAACATTGCTCTCGTGTTTACACGTTTATCGTGACTATGTCAGACGTTTGAAGACATTAAAAGTCTAAAGTGAGCGACTCTTAAAACTGCTCGACCGATGATTAATCGCCACTTAACTGCGGTCCATTGTATCCGTCTTACGAGCAACCGCACACAATGACTTTTGACACTGCGAAGCAACGTTATTATATAAAAACACGAGCGTAGAGAGATTAATAATTAAAACCGGTTTTCTGCACGGAGAGAAACAGTTTTGCGAAATGCATAAAAATTTGACCAAGAGCTTTGAAAATAATGAAATTTTGTTGAGTCATCAAAAATAATCATATAGGTCGCTTAAATATGATAAAAATGTTTTATTCTAGCATTCACTTGGAACGTTATTTAAATTATTTTGATGATTCCAATTTTAATGATTGTTTTCAGATCCATCAGATCTAGGCCAACTTTTAGATACTTAAAAAAAAAAAAAAAAAAACT